GCTGAACAGTGTTATTTTGCCACAGCCCGAAGAGGACGCTGTCCAGTTTGCCAATCGCGTGAAGTCAGCCATTGCCAGGCAGGGGGGCCTTGTGGATCTGCTCTGGTGAGTTCGGGCAGGTTTTTCTCTTCCTAGTGCGATGGTTTCTTGGTCCTGGGTCCTGGTAGCATGTAGCTTGTGAGCCGTAGACCCAAGTTTGTGTCTTGCGTTGGGCAGAGCAGGCCTGTGGAGAAGTGGAGATACATCTTGGCTCTGGCCTCCAAAGCTGCTCTCCTGTAGCAGGAACCAAGGTCTTTGCTTCTGCTGTGTGTGTTGGGCACTAGGGCTTCGTTCTGTGATTCCAGCTTACACTTGTTGCTGCTCAGCAAAGAGAGTTGAGCTTGGGAACTTCTTTTTCCAGGCACTGAGATCTTGAGAGCCTGGAAGGCAGAGAGACTCGAGGCAGCCTACTGTAGTGATACCAGAGCAGCTCACACTTCTGACAGAGCTGCCATGTTGAGTGCAGTGCAGGGCCGTGGGTGCAGCTCCTGACAGACTAAGGTGTGAAAATAGCTCCCCATGGGCACAGCTGGTCTGCCGCGTGCCCTGGCAATGCAAGGTGCAAGTGTCGCTGTCCGGCCGCTGCAGGAGCTGTGACCCAACTGAAGCTTCATACATTGCATGCCTGCAGCTCCTCTGATGAGATGACTTTCTCCCCAGGGATGGAGGACTGAAGAGGGAAAAGGTGAAAGACACGTTCAAAGAGGAGCAACAGAAACTCTACAGCAAAATGATTGTAGGCAACCACGAAGACCGGAGCCGCTCCTGAGCCCTCTGCCTCCAGCACTGTTACTGGGCCTGGCCAGAGCCCTCTGCCTCCAGCACAGGCCATGACTTAGCTGAAGCAGCTCTGAATTTTTGGACTTTGGCTACTCCAGAGCTACTTGGACTTGTTCCTTCGTCCTCTGGCTGTTCTTTCCTGGAGGCACTATGACTGCCTAGAGTCTTCAGGCCCTGGGCAGCTCTTGGCAAAGATGCCTTCTTGTTATTGTTACGTTGAAGCACCTTGCAGGGGCAATATTAAATGAAACACTTACGGTGTCATATGCTTCCATATGGTGTTTACAGGCCCAGGGGGAGGACTGGTGTGTTGATGTGCATGTGTGTCAGTCACAAGTCTCCCACGGCACTGAAACTGGTGAGCTGCACTGAAATGGGCTGCCTTGACAACCAAGGGAGTCTTCGTGAGCCTGTGCCTCTCACGTCTGCAGCATAAACTGCTTGGGAGCCATATGTGGTCTCTCAGACCGTTTCCATCTTCACCTCCAGAAGGAGAAACCTTTCCTTTTCCTTCTGCCACCCTCCTGTCATAGCCTGATCCAGACGGTTGCTTCTCCAGCACCTGAGTAACAGCCTGTTTGCTGGGGTTCGTCAAACAGTGGGGCTCATCCTTCTTAGAAGCCTCCCTCTGTCCCCTGGAACTGCAGGTGGCCAGGCAGTTGTCACTGACGTGGCCCTTGAGGAGCTCGTGTGTGCTATGGTGGGAGGCCAGAGGGGGTAGGAGGGTGGCTGGGGCAGGACATCTCCTTTCAAATACCTCATGAGGGAGACAGTAGGATATGGTCTTGTTACGCACCAACACGCACATACATAATTCAGCATGTTGCAAGGAAACTGAAATCTTGTGCCAGAGGTGGTACCTCTTTGTCTTTCAGCTCTGCAGGTATATCAGTCAGTAAAACAACTTGCATTTGGGTATTCATCCCTTGTACTTTCCAGTTTTCCTTATGTTCCTACAAACTTCAGCTGCTTGTGTTTTCTAGAGTGCTGCAGAAGGCAGTACGGAAGTGTCTCCTTTGTACCCCAAGTGGTGTTTGTTGGGGGGGGCCGTCTGCTACCCCCCCAGGTGAGGACAGCTCTTCTGTGTAAGTGTCCTTAAATTTGAATTTCCCTGCACTAGCTACCAACATGGATTCAAGGTAGTTTACTTCCTGCTTAGTTTTATTTGGGTAAACACGGTAGCCCTGGCAACCTCTAGCCAGGGGTCGTGGCCTGATCCAGCCCCAGCTTTGCCCGACCAAGCTTTGCTGCTCTGGCCCCAAGGCTTGCAAAGCTTTTCCCTTGTTCGGGGGCTGCTTGGACCAAGACCACCCACCCCACCGTCCTCCGGTGCTGGGCACCCAGAGCTCTCCTCTCCATGGGGTACAGGCTCTGCCTGCGAAAATACGACTCCACAGCCCTGGCAAGGGCAGGGACTGTCCCC